GCACTACGTAGTTACCTGTAGGCCTAGCCTACACGTCTTATATAGCCCACCGGCTGACACAGGACGTTAAACTAGAATAATAATAATAATAATACGCTACTATCATAGTCCCTCACGGTCACAGCGCACCGCCAGCCTATCACACTGGCCCAGGCAGCATCGTTTGACTCATCTTGCCGCCCCGTTCCCTTGTTGCCGTGTCCTCAGAGTTGCGTCATGGCTCTGAGCCTTGCCTGCATCCTGTGTCTACCCGCTTTCATTTCTGGGCTTCTATGCGTTCGAAAACCCTGTCCCCTAGTTCGATGAGTGCTGTCCCTTAGCTAGGGCCCGGCGGTGAGGCGCAAGTGTCACGGCATGGCTACCTGTACACATGTTGGCATCATTTGCAAGTGCTTGGCAAATAAAGCGGGCCAGGCCATGCAGTGCACAATCACGCGCATATGCTAGGGCAGCGGGTTGCTGTCGAGTTTTTTATGTGCCTGCGAAACGAGCTTGTGATAGCCGCAGGTATGCGACGAAGGCGTAGGTTTGTAAGAGTGAGAAACGATGAAAAGTTCCAAGCAAGCATCTATTCATCACCTCCAGTAATTATATCCAAGTCCAAACATGTTAGGCAACCCTGATTCAAAAGATCACATGACGTCTATCCGCTATACGACAGTCATCGGACTTAGTGATTTTTTTATATTTCCGTTCCATTGTTGCGACTTGCTGCGCCACTCGGGCTCATCTCGTTCGCCAGAGGGTTTGCTGGCCAGCATGCGTACGTAATATGTATTAACCACGCTATGCTCGTAACTGCTTACCTCCATTTGTTCTGATCAATTCTGATCGCCGTCAAGATTATTCTTCCAGAGAATTCCTTCTGAAGTCGTCAAATATCCACGTCCAGCACGGTAAAATACAATCGTAAGGTGATTTGACGTTCTCAACATTAAATCTCAGTCATTCCTTTGTGCTAAATATGCATGTCTTGGTAAAAGATCAGACTCAGACACGGTCATGGAAGCCTGGGTTCAGCATTATCAATAGAGCCCCTTACATGCATAAAAGGAGCCCTTGATTCAAATTCAGGGGTAACATTCATGCGAAAATCAGCTACTCACTATATGTCGTGGTTATTGAGCATGCCTGTCACGGCCTGATTGCATGTACATGGAGGACGGCTGGGGCAGTGGGCCTAGCTCCGTGGCTGTGTGCAGCTAGTGGCGCCACCTCTGCTGCAAACCAGTCAGGCGCATTGCAAGGCAGAATAACCAAAGACATTTGTATATCTAGTCTGAATGTCCAGACCTGATTCAAGACTATCGGGCTCCTGGCTTTTGAAACCACACTTTCTTTCACAACCTCACCACAGCCATCGTTTCAACAATAAGAAAGTATGCTCGATAAATTTATAAGAGCCTTCCGGAATCCAAAAGATGCACTCAGAGTTCCAGCGGATATGTCCAAGAATATTGGATATTGCAACACCAGTACCGGATTGCCACCATCATCTGCTCGTCTACCTACTTTTCCCTCGATTGAAACACAAAATCCTGGCAATGAAGCTCCACCAGCTTATACTCCAGGTCCAGGTTCATGTACGGGCGCATCGCAGACGGCCTTGACCTCGTCTTCTGACTCTGATCCTTATTCCTTCCTGAAAAGCTTTGACACTATCTTCCTCGTCGACGACTCAGGTTCCATGGCTGGCCACTCCTGGAGAGAGACCCAAGAGGCTCTTGAGACTATCACACCAATCTGCACCGCGCACGACGAAGACGGCATCGATATCTACTTCTTGAACCATCCTGATTCGAGCCTCTACAAGAAAATTACCAGTCCCAGCACTATTATCGAAATCTTCCAGACTGTTCGACCTGGCGGTGCCACACCAACTGGCCAGCGCCT